ATTCTATAGTAAGATCCAATGAATGAATCAATCAATGGCTATGGGTGTACTTCAATTTACAGAGTGTTTGTTTCCCAGACACAAAGTCCCATGTTTGATCAGCAAATGGAATGGCACACCCTAATAATCCTAGCACCCAGGAGCTAGGGACACAAGAATCAAAAGGTAAAGGTCATCCTTGGCTACACACAGAGCTGGAGTCAGCCTGTGACACAGGAGACCCTGTCTCAAGTAAACAAACAAACAAACAAACAAACCCTAGGAATGTGAGTGCTAAATTATCAGGCCTGTGAATCCAATCCCTGTAGTCTTACCCAGGCCTGGCTACCCACCAGTGGGGAGGAATGTGCATTTTCATCAGGAAATTGAGAGTATATTGGTCCATACTTCTCAACAACTTTTTTTTTTACAGCAAGTTTTCTCAGACACTGGTTGCATGAGCTGCATAATATACATATTAAGGGGAGACCTTCCAGTTAAATGATCAGTGGCCAACCCTCTCTTTCTAAGAGAGTCTCTGGGGCATGACCTCAGGGCCATAGGACACAAGGATGTTATTTAAAAGTCACCAGATAGCCAGGTGTGGTGGTGGCATGTGCCTCTAATCCCAACAACTGGAAAGGCAGAGGCAAAGAACAACAAAATTGCAGCCAGACTCTGCATTCCTGACAATCTCTTCCATTCTCATGGTGTTCTGCCGTGGTATGAGATGGGTGCCTTAGGTAGGAAGACACAGTCAGAGAACATTGAATCGTATTTCAGCTTCCCAGTACTGAGTGCAAGCATCTGCCAAGTGTTTGTCTGGAGCCACTCACTTAGTCCTCACAGGCAGAGGGGGCCAGAGGGGTTAGAGCCTTCCCAGGTCCTACAAGAGGATTGATTGTGCAGGGTAGATACTATGTGACACTCCTAGGAGTCTAGCTAAGCTGCAAGACAACAAAGGAGCAGGCATCTCTGCCCCAGCCAAACCTTCCTAACTTAGAGAGTGCAAGCCTCCTTTCAAGCCAAACAGAGCAGCCACAGAAAGGCAGAGAGGTGTGGGAAGCAGAGAAAGACCACAGGCTTTGGACAGCACCAGGCAACTGAGCAGGTATGGGGCTAGGGAGAATTATAGAGATGGAGAGCAGGGAATCACACTTGCGGTGTCAGGGTTTGGAACCCTATTCCTTTCTCCTTACTCTGGGGCCTCTGTGGAAGTGATCTGTGAAAAGGGGCCTCTGCCACAGCTAATGTCCTGGTCCCCTGATCCAGAACTCTTCTCTAGTTCTCAAAGTCCTGGGATGAAGGGAAGGAATGGCCAATCCAAAGCAGCAGTGGGGCTTAATCAGTTACACTGTGGGAGGAACCCTCCTCCGTTCCAGACTCCTCCTTAGGCATCAAGAATCCGCCTCTGCAGTGTTGGGGGACCAGCTCTAGTCCACACCCATGGTGCTGAGGTTGAAGCCTTGTATGCATTGAGCTTGTTTGTCCCATTCTTCAAAACCCTCCAGTCTGTGCTCCTCCCCCAGCTCCCAGGCCAGTGGCTTGCACATCAGCTATGGCTGCCCCAAGAGATGAATTCTGCTGGGCATTGTAGCTCCCATTGCTAGCATTCACAGTTGGCTGGCTTTGGCAGCCCAGACTGCTGAGAGCCACAATGCCACCAGCACTGGGCGGGCTTGGGGTTGAGTCCCAGCTGTTACACTCTTTTCACCTTGGGCAAAGCACCAAACCCTCTGAGCTCAGTTCCTCCTCTGCTTGTTAACGATAAAGAGGAGTAACGGGAGACCATCTCCCGGGATCACCTGATAAGACACCTGGCACCGAGCAGGGAGGCCCCAGCAGTGATTAGCCCAGCTTATCAGCCTCAGCAGAGCCAAGGATATCAAGTAGCCTCAAAATGCAGCTGAGACGTTAGAAAAGGAGGACTTGCTGTGTTCCCTGCCATCTGAAAACATGCCAAGCAGTCCTGCATCACACAGAGGTCCGGCAAAGGACCTTTGCAAATGTTCTTTCTCTACCTGCTATAGAGCACCACATAAAAATGATCACGAGCCCTCTCTAGCATAGAGTGGCCCTTTTCTGCTATCTTTTTCTCCTCTCACATATGCCTTCTGCTTCATGGGTTTGATTACTGTTAGTACCATGAGAACAGTTTTGATTATTCACTACTGACAAACAGAAGACCTCCTGTCACACAGTAGGTGCTTAACAAATAGGTGATCTAATTGAATGGAGCTGTTAGGGTTGCTGCAAACTACAAAGGATTCATATCCTGTCTACTTAAGTATTTGCTGTCCCCAATCCAGAGCACAGCAGTAATTATGCACAAGGAGGAAAATAAGGCATACTACAACACAGAGGTCCCCATGTGAGGTTATGGAGACCCAGGTGCATTGAAACTACAGGTCTTAGTCTTGGCCCCACAGGGGCCTCTGCTAACACTCAGCACACACTGGGATGGCTGACCTGGTGGCCTTCACTTGCCTCCTTGGCTTCCTCTTCCCCTTTGACCCTATGCTCCTCATTCTACTCCTCAGGAAACTAGCCGACTGTGCCCAGCTGCTGGAAGTGGATGACATGGTGCGGCTGGCAGTGCCAGACTCCAAGTGTGTCTACACCTACATCCAGGAGCTGTACCGTAGCCTTGTGCAGAAAGGGCTGGTGAAGACAAAAAAGAAATGAATGGGAAAGCCATGCCGGTGGAGGAAGCAGGGCCCCGATGACAACCATGGCCTTGAGGTGCTTATGTGCCACCAGGCACGAAACAGGTGGCACCAGTCTCCAAAGCATTAAAAGTACTTTTGTAAAGTTCCTCTCATTCCTTGATGCTCCAGAGCTGCATTTGAAGCTACGGGTGGCAGTTCGCCAGGTTCTCCTCTCTCTCTCCTCTCTCTGTCCCCCCCTCTCCCCTCTCCTTACCTCACACTCTGCTCTCTCTCCTCTCTCTCTCTCCCATCTTTATCTGTTCTCTCCTCCCTTCCCCCTCTTCTTTCTCCTCTCTCTGCTCACTCTCTCTCCCCCTACTCTCCCTCTCCTCTCTCCACCTCTCCCATCTCTCTCCTTTCTCTCCCCCTCTAGTCTCTCCTACCTCTGGCTATCCTCTCCCTCTCTCCTTCCTCTCTCTCTCTCTAAGATCTCACTCCTCTCTCTTATCTCTCTCCCTTTCTCTCATTAAGCCCCTTTCACTCTTTCTCTCTGGCTTGCCCATCTCTGTCTCGCTCACACCTTGCTCTCTCTCTCTCACTTGCCCCTCTATCTATCGTTCAGGCCTCTCTCTCACCCCTCTCTTCCTTGCTCACCCCTCTCTCCTCTCTTCTTCTCCCCCCTCTCACTTCCCCTCACTCTCTCCTTCTCTCACTCTTCCCCATTCGCTCACCCCCACTCTCTAGCTTGCCCGCTCTCTCCTGCTCTCCTCTCTCTCACCCTCTCTGTCTCTCGCTCGCCCCTCCCTCTTTCTTGCTTACCTCTCGCTCCCCTCTTCCTCTCCCCATCTAACTTGCCCCCTCTCTCCTCCCTCCCTCTCTCTCTCTCTCTCTCTCTTCCTGGCCCTTCCCTCTCTCATCCCTCTCTCTTGTTCACCTTTCTCTCTCTTGCTTGCCCCCACTCTCTTTCTCTCTCTCTAGCTTACCCCTCTCTCTCTATCTTGCCCCCTCGCTTGCTCACTCCCCTCTCACTGGCCCTTATCTCTCTCAAGCTCTCTGGCTCAGCCCCCCTCTCCCTCAACCTCCCTTGTTTGCCCCTCTATCTCTCACCCCTCTCTCTCTCTTTCCCTCTCTTTCAAGTACACACACACACACACACACACACACACACACGCACGCACGCACGCACGCACGCACGCAGTGGGGTACTTCTACAAGGCAAGTAGAGACTATCTCTAGAAATCTCACCCATCTGGGCTGCTGCAGCCTGGCCAATGGGTGGCACTCTTGATCCCCTACTCTGGCTGGTTTTGCCTAGTTTTGTTCACTGTATGGAATCTCAGTTTATAAGAGAGGACTGCTCTGGCATATATGAAGCTGTGGGTTCATTCCCGAGCACCAGGGAAGGGAAATCAGATATGTTCCCACGTAAGAAACATGGTCTCTGATGATGGACAGATGCTATGCCCGATCCACTGATGAGATGTTTCCTCTTGTGGGAAACACTGGTATTCCTCCAGGAGACTTTTGCAAGTCTCCGTGAGGATGGTCTACTTGGAGCCAGCGTTCCTTACAATGTGTGTGAATATCCACTAGAAGGATATTCTAGTGTTCTTTGTTAGTGCCCAGGCAGCCCCCTTTCTGATGAAACACTTGATCCATGCAACTCAGAAGGTAAAAGGCACCGGCCACCAAGCCAAACGGGTGACCTTAGTTGAATCCTCAGGACCTACAATAATGGAAAGAGAAAATTGCCAAAATTTGTTCCTTTACTTCCACCCCTATGTAAACACACAAAATAAATAAAACTGTAACGAAAACTTAACAACAACAACAAAACCTTTGCTCTCATGGAAAACTTAGCTGAGCTCTGGAATTTGTAAGTTAAGCTTATGAATTGTGGAGCCCTCGGACTAGATGTTGGAAGTACACAAATCCCAGCTTGAGGCCTAACCCCCGGTAATGTAGCCAATCCGAGAGCAAACCATCTGGAAACATGAAGTCTGGTTTCTGGGATGGTCTTTCAAGTCTTCATTTCGGGACTCATCAGCGGAGAATAAAATGTTTAACACCTCAGTCTGGGCATGCCTATGCAGGTGTGGCTGGTTTCAATCACTCAGCGGTGGATTTGGCTCCTTCTATGTGCCCAGCTTCCAGCCACAGTCCTGCATCCTTTACCCCTCGGTGCCTGGGCCCCGAGGCATTAAGTTTTCCGCCAATTGGTCTGGAAAGTAGCTAAGATGGAGAACTGAAAAGCAGGCCCGACACTGTGCAAACCTAACTTCCGCTGGTTTGGGGAGCAGCCAAGGGTGTGGGGTTGGCACATCTACAAGCATATGACTTGTGGGAGGAGCACACACCACGCAGACGACCACATACACACACTAGGCACATTTATTCATAATTAGCGGCTACAAAGGGAAGCATGCGCACAAGGATGGGCCTCCAAAGGCCTCTGGTGCCAGTCTCGGATATCCATCCACTGAGCAGATGGTCCAGGCAGAGAGGCCTCAGAACCAGAATTAAGAAGGTCGGACTACTCCCAACTGAAGGGTTAACTCTTCTGCCCTCCTCCTGAACATCTCGGGGTCCTGGGTCAGAAGATCAGCGAGCTCCAGCCGCACAGGCTCTTCCAGAGTTGGTCTACCCACGAGCATGTTGAGGGCCTCCAAGACTGGGGACAGAGAACAGAGCAGGGCATCAGGGCAGGGAGAACCATGGGAGAAGGTCAGGGCTACTCATCCCCAGATTCTTCTGAAGCCACACAATAGTTCCTCGGGGAACCCCAAGCGGCTTCCATCACTTAGGATGGCTCCACAGCCAAAGCAGATGGTCCTCTCATTGTCTCTTCATTTTATACAGGGTCTGTCTATGGAGCCCAGGCTGTCCTCAGACCAGAGCCCCTCTACCTCCTGTGTACCAGGACTAGCGACACGCACCACCACACCTGACTCTAGAGCTATAGTTTTTAAATAACTATTTGCCATGGCTTCAAATAAGTTTCTCATTAGATGAGTGAGATTCTTGGTTCTCACTCTCAATCTTTTTTCCCCCCACAAAACCACGTTAACCAGCCCCGTGATTGTCACTTCAGCCTCTATGAGCCCCTATGAGTCCCGCTCTGTTGATTCTGTGGGCCACGTTCTTCTGGTGTCCTCGACCCCTTTGGCTTCTACAATCCTTCCTCCCTGTCTTCCACAGGGTTCCCCAAGCTCTGCCTAATGTTTAGCTGTGGGTCTCTACATTTGCTCTCTTTAGCTGCTGGAGGAAGCATCTCTGATGACCACTGAGCTATGCTCTTATCTAGAAGTCTCAATGTGGGTCTTATTAAGAGTCACTGGTTTTCTGTTTTGTTTTTAAGGTATGTGTCTATGCATGCGCACATGTGTGTAGATGCTCTTGGGGACCAGGAGGATTTGGATCCCTTAGAGCTGGAGTTACAGGGAGTTGTGAAGGTCCTAATATGGGTACTGGGAACTTAACTGTCCTCAGCAAGAGCAGCAATGATTATTAAGTGATGGACCATCTCTCAAACACCCTGGTCTTCTGTTAGATTGCGATTTCAAAGAAACTTTTATTTGGGGTAACAGGTTTCTAAACTAAATAGTGAAAACCATTCCTGACTCAGTGGCTTTTAATCTTTCTCAACTACTTTTGGGAATCTGGGAAGGTGGCATTCAACCCCCCTAAGCTGGTGCACAAATGTCTTTGTCCTTATTTACAGCTCTAGTGAAGACAGCATCACAGGTCCATAGGGCTCATCCAAGGCTCACTCCTTGTGTCTCCCCTGCCCCAGGGATCCTTGTCCCCCTCAATTAAGAATCCTGAGCAGGTCAGACACAGGTTGGCAACCAGGCTGAGTCCACAAACTTCAGAACTTTACTGTCCAACATAATCACCACTGCGTTCCTGTTATGTAAGTCACTGGAGACACATCCAACATTTCCAGCACTACCAAGAATTCTGTTAATGCTGAGTCAGATGTGTCCAACTTGAGGACCAACACTAAATTATAAGCTTACTTAAAACATGATACTTGTTTTTACCCTTTTGGGAGGTGACCTGATAATGCAGTTCTCAAGTATGAATTTTGCAGCTGACAACCTCCTTTTACAATATCAATAGGTTGGGTACAAGTCTTAGGGTTTCTGTGGCTGTGATGAAAGCCTATGATGAAAAGCAGCTTGGGGAGGAAAAGTGTATTTCAGCTTACAGGCCTCAGATCACACTCCATCATTGAGGGAAATCAGGATAGGAACTGAAGCAGAGGCCAGAAAAGAGCACTGCTTACTGGCTTGCTCCTCACAGCTTGCTCAGCCCAGGGGTGGCACCATCCACTGTGGGCTGGGTCTTCTCACATCAATCTTCAATCAAGAAAACATCAGGCAGACTTACCTATAGGCCACACTTACCCACGGAGGCAAATTCTCAAAGGAGAGTCCCTTTTCCCAAATGACTCTGGCTGGTGTCAAGCTGCCATGAAACTAAACAATACCTGACACCTGCTAGATCCAGCCAGGTTCTGCCCATCCACACCTGTAGGGCTTAATTCAATGGCTTCACTCTGCCTAAGTTTCAGTGTCTCTGTTCATTCAACCAGGATAATGGTGACACCATATCATAGAAAGAGATGATGGCCTCCTTATGCCAAGCCCTTCCCTCCACAGGCAAGCTCTCTCTCTCTCTTTCTCTCTCTCTCTCTCTCTCTCTCTCTCTCTCTCTCTCCTCTCTCCTCTCTCTGCCTCTCCTTTCTCCTCTGTCCTTCTCTCTCCTCTCTTTCCTGTCTCTCCCCTCTCTCATCTATATCTCTCTCTTCTCCTCTCTCCTCTCTTCTCACTCTCTTACCTTTCAATTCTCTTTCTCCTCCCTCTCTCTCTCTCTCTCACATCTCTCCACTGTCTCCCTTCTACTTCTCCCTTCTCTCTCACTCTCTGCTCTCTCTGTCCTCTCTCTCACTCACTGCTCTCTCTGGTCTCTGTCCCTCTCCTCTCTCTCCCCCTTTCTCCATGCTCTCCCCTCTCTCACTCGCCCATCTCTCTCTCTTGCCTCTGTCTCTTGTCCTTTTTCTCACACTCACTTGTTCCTCTCTCAATCTCCACCCTCTCTCACTGTCCGCCCTCTCTTGCTTTTATCCCTTTCTCATTCTCACACCTCTCCCTCCCCCCCTCTCTCATACACACACACACACACACACACACACACACACACACAGGCTAAATTACTCAGTCACACCTGAAGAGAATACCAACCATCAAGTATCTCAGGAAGCTTCTCTTCATCCAACAGGCTCTCCTCAGACCCTCATTTTTTTTTATGCATATAGAGTATTTTTTATTTAATTTTCAGACCCTCATTTTTATCAGGTCTGATTTACTAACTTTTTAAATGTATTTGGGCTGGAGAAATGCCTCAGCAGCTAAGAGTACTAGCTGCTCTTCCAAAAGTCCTGAGTTCAATTCCCAGCACCCACATGATGGCTTATAACTATTACAGCTGTAGTTCCATGAGATATGATGCCCTCTTCTGGTGTACATATATGCAGAGAAAATATCCACATATATAAAATACATAAATAAATGTACTTATTTGGGCTGGGTAGATGACTCAGCAGTTAACAGCACTGGTTGCTCTTCCAGAGGAACTGTGCTTGATTCCCAACATTCACATGGCACCTGACAATTGTCTGTCACTACAGTTCCAGGATTCCAACACCCTCTTTTAGTCTTCACAGGGACCAGCCATGCATATGGTGCACAGATACACACACACACACACACACACACACACACACACACACACATAATTCTTAAAAATTTTTATTTATATTCTTTTAAATTTTATGTGTGAATATTTCGCCTGCATGTACATATGTGTACCATGCATGTGCAGCACCCTTGAAGGCCAAAAGAGGGTGCTGGATCTCCTGGAACTGGAGTTATGAATGGCAATGAGCCACCACTTGAGTGCTCTTAACTTTGGAGTCATCTATCCAGCGCTTAATTCACTTGTTTTTGACTCAGGGTCAAAATTTGAGGTTCAGGTAGACCTCAAATTTGTTGTGTAACTGAGGATTCACTCTTTTAATTAATGTGATGGCTGTGAATGCTGACACATGCATGCCACAGAGTTCATGTAGAGGTCAGAGAACAACTTTTGTGAGCTGCTAGTTTGTTCCTTTCACTGTGGGATATGTGGATCAAGCCCAGGTTTAGCCTTGCTCAATGTGGTAGACTGAAAGTAATTGGCCCCCATAAGCTCATAGGAAGTACCACTTTTAGGAGGTGTGGCCTTGTTGATGTAGACAGGGCCTTGTTGAAGGAAGTGTGTCACTGTGGGGACAGGCTTTGAGGTCTCCTGTGCTCAAGCTACACCTAGTTCAGTTCATTTCCTGTTATCTGTGGATCAAAAAGTAGGACTCTCAGCTCCTTCTCCAGCACCATGTCTACATGCATGCTGTCATGATCTTCCATGGTGATAAAGGACTAAAATCTGAACTATAAGCCACCACAATTAAATTTTTTCCTTTATAAAAGTTTCTGTGGTCATGGTGTCTCTTCACAGCAATTACAACCTTAAGATACACAGTAAGCCCATTTACCAGCCAAATCATCTTGTCCTTGAAGTTGACCTTGAACTTCTGATCCTCCTGCTTCCATTTTCCAAGTTCTGAGATCCCAAGCATGGATCATCACACCCAGTTTATGTGGTGTTGAAGGTTAATCCTAAGACCTTATAAGACAAGCACTCTACCAACTGAGTTACACCCCCTTCCCTATCTCTTCTCTTTGAAGCATTTAACTCAAATTAAGCCCCCAAACATCCCCATCCAATAGCCCCCATGTACATTATCCCCTCTTCTGGGCAAGGCCAACCCTACCTTGGCAGGTCTTGGTGTAAGGTTTCCAGTTCTCAGTGCTGATGAGGGGCAGGCACACCAGCCCATCCTCACTGATGTTGGGGTGGTAGATCGGGGTGATGAATTTCAAAGTGGGAGGCCTAAGTGGATACTCCCTGGGGAAATCGATTTGCAGATGGAAGGCCTTGAGGTTATAGGGAGGTTGGTCCTGGTCAAAGAGAAGAGACTGAGCTCTGTTCTATTAGTACAACTCCCTAAAAGATGGCTTTCCTCCAAGAGCTTTGATCTGGTTCCCTCCCTTCCTCATCCCAGGGTCTAAAGTGTTCTCAGTTCTACTCCAAAGAAGATATGAGTAGCAATTTACTTAGAAATTAAAAGAAGGGTAGACTCACACAGAGTGCTGACCTGCCAGTTTTACTCTATTGTCACGAGTGAGCCACCTTCCACACCTGAACCTCACTTTCCTCAGTGTTGAAAAATGGGGCAGAAACCCAGAAAAATCACACAGACAAAACAAGCAGACATGTGAGAAAGAGATGTATAAGGAAGAGAGGAGGCCAGCATGAGAGCTACAAGTGTGTGTAACATATGTATGGAACTGTCAAAGAACAAATTTACTCCTTTAAAATGGTGCAGATGCTATGCAAAACCAGAAAGCAGTTCTCCACAAATTAAAATATGCTCCATCAATTCCACCTTGGGATATATTCCTCAAATAATTTTTTAAAGATTTTCTTATTTTATGTGTATGAATGCCTGCATGCATGTATGCGTACCACATGCACATGGAAGTCAGAAGGTATTGACTCCCCTGGGACTGGAGATACAGAGTTGTGAGTCACCATGTGGGTGCTGGGAATTGAACTCAAGTCCCCTGCAAGAGCTCTTAACCCCTGAGCCATCTCTCCAGTGCTCCTCACCAGTTTTGTTTGTTTCTTTGTTTTCAAGACAGTTTCTCTATGTATCCCTGGCTGACCTGGAACTCACTCTGTAGACCAGACTGGCCTCTAACTCACAGAGATCTGCCAGCCTCAACCTTCTGAGTGTTGGAATTAAAGGTGTGTGCCACCACTGCCTGGAGAAATTATTTTAATAAAATCACTTTATTGTAATTAAGTCACAAATAAAAAATGCCAGAGTTAAGTTAATGTAGCCACTCAAATAAATGCTTGCCCACTCCTAAACTATACATCCAATGAACATCTATACAGTTAGAACAGCCTTTCTGAAACCATGCGACTTCCTTTCGGTTTTTTGTTTCAATTCATCTTCTCTCACACAATACATCCTGACCAAAGCCCCGCTCCACTCCTCCCAGTAGTGGTAGTCCTCCCCATCCCCAGCCCCCATCCCCAGATCACTGCTCCTGTTTCCCTAGAGAAAAGAGCAGGGCTCCCAGTGATATCAATTGATTGGGGTTTTATACTTTCACTTTCAATTGCACTTTTATGGACTTGTTCACCACACACAAAAAAGGAAAGCTATGACAGAGCTGAAACTGGACAAACAAATCAGTTTTAGGTCCTCTTTCATGACTCATGTATCCTTTTGTCTGCATTCTGTCTGTCCTCATCATCTAATGTTACCCTTTCCTGGTTTCCTTTCTAAATGCCACACTGTGCCCACCCTTACAGCTGTTTGCATGTGTACACTATAAACTAGGATCCACATTTGAGAAAGAACATTCTGATTTTTTTTTTTAGTTTGAGTGACCCCACTTAATATTAAAATGAGACACACATATACAAAGAAACATTATCCTAAAAGGGAATGAAAATCTAATATATGATACAACTTGGATGGGCCTTGAAGACATCACAGTAAGCGAAATAAGCTAGATTTAAAAAACAAAACAAAAACAAAAATCGACAGCTACTGTATTGATGGCACTTGCGTCAATATCCAGAATGGTCGAATCCTAGAAATATAAAACAGAAAAGTGCTTATACTCCAGTACCTGCTGGAGGAATAGACAGATATTATCAAATGTAGGCAGAGTCTGAAATACATGTTGATAAGTACTAGAAATATAGGGGGATTGTGACAACATAATGTTATTACTTTACAATGATACATATACACAGGCAAAGCAGACATACACTTAAGTTAAAAATAAATCTCAAAAAAAAAAAAAAAAAACCTGGACATAAAGTTACATCCCTATAACCTCAGGATTTGGAAGGTGAACCAGGAGGACTGTTGCCTAGGCTACAGAGTGAGTTCAAGTCAGCCTGGACTACACAACAAAACTCTGTCACAAAACAAAAACCATAAACCTAGGGGCTGGAGTAAACAGGGGTCAAAAGCTGGTACAAGAAGAATTCAGATAAAGTGACCTGAAGATTCCCTTGGACACCTACACTGGGCCACCTGTGCCTAGGAATGGCTTATTCACATTATTCTTCAGAGAGTACAGGGAACATAAAGACCATGTCTTTTAGACAAATAACTGGACCTCTCTGAGTTTCTCTTCAGGGATAAGTTTAGATGTCTTCATAGAGCTTAGATGGGTTAGTTTATAAGTTAGTTTATTTCAAAGGCATAGAACAGGCTATGACAGTACACATACATGCCAGCTATTATTGATAGGTAAGATGGCCATGTCTGTCAGCACAAGGAAACTATAGTTCAGTGTGTCTATGTAAAGTTCAGGCCACCGTGGTTGTGCTGAAGTGGAAACTCAGCATTTGAATGTACAACCCACATATGACCACTCTTCCATGCTCTCTGAAGGAATTTCAGGGGCTTGAGATGTCGCTCAGTTGGCATAGCATTTACGTAGCATGGACAAAGCCCTGGGACCAGTTTCCAGTACCACATAAAACAGGGTGTGATGGTTCACACCTGGGTGGTAGATAAGACATTCAACGTCTTTCTCAGCTATATAGGTAGTTTGATTTGAGGCTAGCCTGGGATAATGAGACCTTGTAAAGAAAAGAAAAGGAGAGTGGAAGGGAGACCAGGATGATCTCAGCACAGAGCTCGGGGTCCTTCATGCTGATGCCAAGGCTCCAAATCCTTCCAGAAGTTCCATTATTGAAAACACACTACAAAGAGAGTTAGAAATACAGTCATGGTTGGGCAGAGTTGAGTGTTGCATTTGTTTTGTTCTGTTCTGAGTCTTGGAATAGACACGAAGGGCTCACACGTGCTAGGCTCATCCACTACTACTGAGCCATGTCTGCAGCACGGAGTTAAGGCCTGACTGAGTGCCTGTCCCTAACAGATGCAGAATGGAAACTGGGCTTGGCTGTGCTGAGATGAGGCAGGGAGCAACTCCTGGGCAGATAAAGAGAATGAATTCCCAGTTCACAGTCTTGATAAACAGGAAAGCCTGGGCCTGTTTGGCAGCCACAAGGATGATGCAGACCCTCAGGGCAGAACTGGATATCTTTGTATCCTTGTATCCTTTCTATTGACCCCTTTTTGCTGAGCTCCATGGTCTTACCAGTGGATGAATGTGCAGACAGCTGAGGCCCTAGGTCTTCTGCTCTGCCTCATGCTACAGTGTGACTCTGGGCTTTGCTAGGACTTGATCTCTCATCTGTAAAGGAGGGCTAGATGAAGGATTTCCTACCACATCTCATATTAGCAGAAATACTGCCACTGCTTCCCAAACTCTGCATTAAATTAAGTTTTTGATTGAAAACCATCCGTGTACTGGAAATGTAGCTCAGTGGCAAAATACATGCTTTGCACATCTGTCCTGGGTTCAAATCTTAGCACTGCAAGCAAAACAAAAAAGAAAAATGTGAAAGTCCAAGGCAGGAGGATTGCCATGAGCTCAAGGCCAGCCTGAGCTACATAGTGAGGGCCTGTCTCAAATGAAGGAAGAGAAAACAGAAAAGAAAAAGGCCAAGAGGATAGTTCAGTCAGGAATGTGTTTGTCTTACAAGCATAAGGGCCTGACTTGGGTCCCCCAAATCCCTGTAGGGGGGGAACAAAGCTGACCATGATGTCACCCCTTTGTAATACTGATACTGGTAAGTACAAACAGGAAGATCCCTTGGGGCTGGCTGCTTAGCCTGCCTAGCCTCCTTAGAAAGTCCCAGGCTAAAAGCTAAACAACAACAACAACAAAGTGGCTAGTACTTAAACTGACCTCTTGCTTCCACAGGTTCACATAGACAAGAAGGGACAGAAGGGGTGTGGGGAGATGGAATGAAATTCTGGAGCCAGACGAAACCCTGCCCTGCCACCTTATTCTGTGTAACTATGAGTACATTCTTCAGCTTTCTAGTTTTCTACATCCTCATCTGTAAAAGGAAGCTGTCCTGCCTTAGGGTGGGTGAGGGTCCTAAATTTCACTTCATGCCATGTTCTTCAGTGATCCATCTGTTGCGATTCTCTACAGCTTTACAAGGCCAGAGCAGCTGTGATCCACTGTGACTGAAGGGACAGGTAGGGCTGCCTGGATGAGCATGTACAGTGACACTAAGCCTTTCTAGAACCAGAGGTCTGCTTATCCCTTCTTTGGTTCTCTTCCCTGCAAGTCAGCTGCTTTCTTCATCACAGCTCCCCAGGCATGTCTAGATGCTAACAAATATCCTCTAGCGTCCTGATTGGTTGGAAAGGTTTTGGCACACCTGCCTGAGGAGCCAATCATAGAGATCCTCTGACTTCACAGCATCTCCCAAACATGGCCTCTCCTACTTTTTCCTATGACTGTGCTCTTCCTTCTCACCTGCTCCTCTTCCTTCAGTGTCACCATCCCAAAACTGTTCTCCTTGGAGACACAACCAGGACCCATTTTAGTATCTTTTCCCTTAACACTTGTGGCCCAGCATCTAGACAGCTTCAATCCAAGGGCTGAAGGACCTTGACAGGACTCAGGTGTTAGCCTAGATCAACCATTTCTCCATTTTCTGGTAGTGGAAAGAGAAGGCAAGACCATTGCATGGTAAGTATGGGTTCTAATTAATTAGATCATCAGTTTGTTCCAATAGTTTTGACCAGCAAAGGGCTGTGCCTTTTCCTTTCTTCTGGGTGTTATTTCTCAAGCTGAATCATGACCCTGTATCAAAAAAACAAAACAAAACAAAAGAAACAAAAAACAAACAAGGAGGTCTCATTTTGTCAAAAAAGTATATTAACTAGGCATGGTAACACATGTTTTTAATTCCAGCACTCAGTAGGCAGTACTCTGAGTTCAATCTCCAGACCAAGCAGGGATACATAGAGAGATGCTATCTCAAAGTGTGTGTGTGTGTGTGTGTGTGTGTGTGCTTGTGTGTGCACACGTGCGCGCGCGCGCGCACACACGGTTCATGCATGCATGCATACATATTACATTAGCTTGTTTTGAGAGACAGGGCTTCTCACTGACCTGAAAATCACCTGACTGGTCAGTGAGCCCCAGAGACCTGTCTCTGCCTCCTCAGCTTTGGGATTACACACTCCTATCATCACACTTGACTGTTTTCATGGGTGCTGAGGGTTGAACTCAGGTCCTCATTTTCACCTTCTGGGCCTCCCCTATTTTTGATACTGTTTGTCTGCTGAACCTTCTTTGGTGGGCTTGGTAGCTACTGGATGGAAGGACAGGTGTCCTCTTAAATCCAAAGTTTCTGTTGGTGTGTTCATTAGTCTGACTGGACTTAGAAGCAGCTGGTCCAGAGACAGAGCTTTTACCACACACCACAACCTCCAGAAGAGATCCCAGGTCAAAGGAAGTTCTCACCTAGGCCTGGCCCTCCCTGCCCATAAGTCACTCCCTACCCGAAGAGTTCTCACAGACACTCACAGGCAGCAGGAGCATGTTCCACACCAGCACATTGCCATCATCGATAGACAGGTCCCGCAGGTATGGTGGAAGCTGCTCTGAAAGATTTTCAAACTCCTGTAGGGGTCACATCAGGAACAGTGGGCCAAGTGTTCATAACATTAGACCCCTACCTACAGCCCCACAGCAAGCCCAAAAAGAATATCCCAAGAGCAGAAAGCAAAAGGTCAGACAGAGCCTACTGTGAATTATTTGTTTACACTGTGTGAAGATGTGTTACTATAATTGGGTTTAATAAAGAGCTGACTGACCAATAGCTAACTAGGACAGACTAGACAGGACTTATGGACAGAGAGAAGAACTTGGGATGAATATAGGCATATAAAATATACCAACGAGGCACTGAAGAAGTCAGACACATGAACAACACAGAGGAGAGGTAACTGAGCCATATGGCAGAACACAGATTAATAAAAGCATGGTTAATTTAAGTTATAAGAGATAGTTGGGAACAAGCCTAAGCTAAGGCCAAGCTTTCATAATTAATATTGTCTCCATGCAGTTATTTGTGAGCTGGTAACCCAAATGCAAGTCCGACTACAAGAGCCCCCACTTCGGGAGCACTTAGCTATTGTGAGACAGTGCTGAGTGATAAATAAATTACCTGATTTCGGCCTCTCCCCAGCTCTGTAAGCCCCAGTGTAAGAATCAGCTGATCACTTTCTCAAATATGGAGAACTTGGGAGTAAGTTCTCCTAGGAGCCTTTCTTAACTCTGCCTTCTTGTCTTCTTTCTGGAAAGTCACTGGGTGCAATTTCCTATCTCTATCCTATTCCTATCTCAGTAATATCTGCTGAGTTTGTAGCAGAATATGCACTGTCGGAATGAATGGCAAGGACATCATCCATCCTTCCCCCACCACATCACTCTGCCCTTGGGGTAAAGGACTGATTCAGGCTGCCCCTCATGAGGGATCTTGCACATCACACTTGGCAACTGGGGATAAGGAGTAACTCGGCTTCTCAGAAATGTGGGCTCAGTCACTTAGGCATCCCTGTGTTCTCCCAAGAGCAGTTCACTGAGTGTCCTCTGCTGACCCTTGACTAAGACAGGGTGCCATCCTCAAAAACATCTTTGGAGTAATGGAGGGAAGTTGAATTTGAGGATGTGAACAGTGTGAGTGGAAAAATAATCAGGAAGGAGGGAAGTGGGAAAGCAGAGATGCTTCACAGAGGTTGCATGCTGTGAGATGGGCCTTGAAGAGTAAGTAGGAGCCCACCAGGCAGAAAAACAGATCACCAAGGCTGAGGGCCCAAATAGGACAAGTGTGTGCAGGGGTCCCATGGAACATTAATAGTTATTACAGGAGAAGAGCTTCATGGGTTGAGTACTCTTGGGAAAGTTGAGTTAAAATAGCTTCGTCACTGAAGAACAACCCAAAGGTTTTAGATTTGGCATGGTTATTGCAGTAATGGGGATGGAACTAAGAGCCTTGAGCATATCAGGTGGTACCTCAGCATGCCCAGAGTCCCCAGTTACCAAAGTGCAGCTGACCCAAGGACCTCACCCATGGGACTCCAGATCTTCTCATTTTGAGAGGGTGGGGGCCATTGAAAAACATTCACATTCAAGGCAGCTCAGTCCTCTGTCCAGAGATACATTTACCCACTAGAGCACATTTGTCAATATCTAGAAACATTTTCTATTGTCATGAATGGGGTGCTACCACAGTTCAGCAGATACAGTCCAGAGATACTGTGAAACATCCCACAAAGGATTATCTGGTCCCAAGCATCAACAGAGATAAAGTTGAGAAATGCTTGTGTAAACACAGGCAGAGGGAAAGTTCCCCTAACCCAGAGGGTTGGGAATGGGATCCTTCCCTGCTGTAAACTTTCTGTACTCCCTATCCCAAATACATAAACTCCCCACACTCCTTTCTATCTCTCAGATTGCTTCCTGTGCCTTCTACTTAGAGCCATGACCACTCATTTGCCCATTCCACCCAACAACAGCCATCCTCTATAGCTTGGGCAAGAGCAAAGGCTTAGGCAGAACACAGATCTTGAATAAACATGTTCTGGACTGGAGATGCAGCTCAGTTGGTAGTGTGTTTGCTTGGCACGCAAGAAACCCTGGGCTCAGTTCCCAGAATGGCATAAAACTTGACAAAGTAGTGCACATCTCTGATCTCAGGACTTAAGAGATGGAGGCAGAAGAATCAAGAAATTGGAGGTTGGGCTGGTGAGATAGCTCAGCAGTTAGTTGCACTTGTTGCTCTAACCCAGAGGACATGGGTTCAATTCCCAGCACCCACATAGTGGCTAACAACTATTTGTGTAACAACCAGTTGCAGGGGATCTTGCCTCTGCTAGCACCATGCATGCAGGTGGTTCACAGATATACATCAGGCAGAACACCCATATACATAAAATAAAAATAATATTTTAAAGAAGAAACCAAAGGTCATTGTCAGCTACATATCAAGTTTGAGGCCACCCTGGACATAAAACCCTATATCAAAAAATAAAGAAATTTAAAAATACTGAAGGGGAATTTTCTCTCTTACCACTGGGAATACTTGGATTTTTTGTGCTTTGGTGAATTCTGCCATGACTTTCCCATGAAACAGCCTTTCCCCAAATTCTGCAAACTAGAGGGGCCTTTGGGGAAGACCCAAAGCCTGGGGGTGCCAGACCCAGCGTTTCTCCTCTACTATCTCCAATTGTGGCTCCATTCAGCCCTCTAGACATTCCTAAGGAAATTGCCGCCTTTCCATTCTTCCGGGTAGTATTCAAACAGTGTCCCAGATAGAAATGAACACTCAAGGGGGGGGGGGAGATTTTTGTTCCTTTTCTGCCCCCTGCTGCCTGGCACTGAACTAGTAAAAAAATAGGCATTTAGCATCTGTAGCGGACTACATACAAACATACTCAGGCCATAAATTGATACTTCTTATCCAGGAACTATTCTGTATACTTTCATTCCAGGGACCACCCATCCCCACCCCACTGCCCATCTGAACCTTGCTTCTGAGCACTCGGTTAAGATGGCTATCAAACTATGGGTCCACCCAGTAGGTGGCGCAAGAGAATCCTGCCTGTGCCTGAGATACGCCCCACTAATAAATTTCCAGCAGAATTGAAACTGAAACCAGTTTGGTGAAGCTAATTCATTCTCATAAACACCCCACATACATAGCCCCTTAGGACAACTGAAAAGCTGGTGACAACTCTGTCTTGTGTGTTCTCCATCCTGGCCCACAAACTCCATTCCTGAGCGTGTGCTCAGAGGATAGGACACACACACACACACACACACACACACACACACACACACACACACACACACGAGAGGAGGGGGGGATAGACCAGAGAAAGGAGGGAGAGGGAGAGAGGGAGGGAGGGAGGAAGGGAGAGAGGGAGAGAGAGTCCACCTCCTCCCACTCCTTCACTGGGAGAGGGTGAGGATGCCTGGGTTTCAGCCCACCCTGGTACCCCTGATAAACAAAAGCTCTCAAAGGTCAGCCGGGGGAAAGCGAGGGAGCACTAGAAAGAGGTCGTCGTACATGTGCTTACCTTTGCCACCCGTTTGCTGGCTGTCATCTCGAGTAGGAGTGTGGGACAGCAGCTGAGTCCCGCAGGTCCTGGCTCTCTGAATCACACAGCTCTGGAGCCCCACCCACGACCGCTCCACCCATACCGATTCTAGCCCCAAAGACCTGCTCCGCATCCCATGGGTGGATACCTGGAGGGCGTGGTCGAGTGCCCATATCGGTGGTCTTGAATCCCAGGAACTCAGCTCTTTGCAGATGGGAGACCAAGTCCGCGGAGCACACTGTTCCCTTTAAGGGACATTGCTCAGGAGCCTGGATGGGGTCCATCCCCTGCCTTCATTAGTCCCCTCCGCTGCTGAGAACACACTCGTCTGTCCCAGATACTCGCGAGGCAAACTTAGTTCTGCTGCAGGACTCTCTGTGACCTCCGGCCTAACCCCTAACTCCAGAAAGATTCTCATAGCTCTGGGCCAGGTCACTTTGCCTTTGTGGGCCCAACGCCCCATCCAAAAAAAAAAAAAAAAAAAAAAAAAAAAAAAAAGCAAGTGGGGGACAGTGTAAACTATATGCCCTCCAAGTACCGCTCTCTTAGCTGTGTGAGATCCCAGGTGCAGCCCAGCAATTGGGCCAAGGTACTACGATAGATGCTTCTTTAAGGTTGCTTTATGCTGAGCATCACATGAGGACGCTGTTGGACACTTAGAAAGTGTCTGCTGCTTGGCCATCTGGGAAACCAATGGGTAGGAGAAGCCTCAAGCTAAGAGTTCGGGACCTATTCTGTTTTACTGCCAGCTGATTACAAACTATGAACCCACTGTGTGTCCTTACGAACAGTCAAAAGTGTCTCCGCCCCTCTATGCAAGGGCAGAGATGCCTTGCCCTAGCCCAAGTTGAGACCATGATCTAATAGCAGCGCCCCCCCAATACTGAACAGCGATTGGGAGAGACCCTGCTGCTGTGATAAAGCTAGGGAGAAGTCCACCTTTCCCACCTCACCCTTCCAGCCCAGAAATTAGCATATTTTGAACCCCAAGTTTTGACTCAGTATGCCACGTGATTTTTTCCCCCTCTGTCCAGGAACCAAATGTCTGCTTTGCTTCTTTTTGTGGAACAATTCTGTTTATTCAGCTCAATAACTTTAACCAGATACCTCCTAAATTATGGCAATGACCAGGACACCATTGGCAATGCCTAAATATAGATAGGGGATGAGGGAGCAGTGCACTTGAACCCATTTCTAGTTAGTCTTAGTTAACAAGCACTGAATACCAAGTACCAGACACTATCCAGGGAACAGCCGGGCTGAGAAAATGTGGTGTCTGTCCTCAGAGAAGCTCTCAGGCAGTTAAAACACAGAGAATTCAATCTCTGAATTTTTTTTATGTTAAAGGAACTCCGCCTACAGTGTGCTTGTAGTTTTTTGAGATAGGGTCTCACTGTGTAGTCCTGACTGTCCTGGACCTTGATGTGGACCAAGCTGGCCTAAAACGCAAGAGATCTGCCCACCTCTGCCTCCCCAGTGCTGGGATTAAAGACATACACCACCACAGCCAGTTTAGTCACTGAATTTTTAATAATAACATAAAGCATTACTCAGTCCTCTGAGGGTTGGAGGATACTTACTTGATCTCCTTGTGGAAGGGACAGAGGCTTTCTGGATGACAGAATCTAAGTGAGGGAGACTAGACAGTAAGCTCCAGGAAGAACATAAGAGGAAGGTGATGGGAGATGTCATTCTGTAAATGTTTCTCATACTGGTTAATGAATAAAGCACTGTTGGCCAATAGGAAAGGAAGATAGGAGGGACTAGGAAACAAGGAGGAAAGAGGAAGTAGTAAGGAGAAGTCAAGATGGAGAGTTTGGAGAGGATAGGACACCAGCTGGCTCTCCGGTAAGAGCATGTGGAAATATTAGATTAACAGAAATGGGTTAATACTTAAGACAGAGCTAGCCGATAAGAAACAAGTACCTGGCCAACAGCATTATATCTAATACAGAGTCTCTGTGTATTATTTGGGGCTGGCGCGGCGGCGGGACAAGACCTAACTCCGTACAGGAAGGTGTTCCAATAAGAGTGAAGGAACAGTATTGGCAGGGTGACAGGGTGTGAGGAACCTAAATGGGTTGATAGTGTGGAGCGCAGTAGTCTGGTGGTCCCTCCTTCCTTTATAGCCTTGCACATTGAAGTGAATTCAGGCATTCTGGGAAAGGTCCAGAACTAGCATATAAGAGCTTACACACATAGATACAGGTAAATGAATAGTTTGTTTATTTTAATTGAAACACAATAATTGTATGTACTGACAGGTGCAGTGTGGTAATCCAACAGATGTTGCAATGGTCAAATTACAATAATTAGTATTTATGTGATAAACATTCTCATTTCTTTGTGCTGGGACCTATGAAACTTTCTAGTTCTTTATGAAATATATAATGAATCACTGTTAATGGAATCAGCCCTACTGTGCTATAGAACATAAGAACCCAAGGCTGCTGGGAACCTGGAGAGTTGGTTCAGCAATCAAGTGCATTTGTTGCTCTCCCAGCAACCTGGTCCTGTTCCTACTATCCACATGGTGGCTTACAAACCATCCATAATTTCAGATTAGACATTCTCTTCTAACCTCTGTGGACACTGGTCATACATATGGATATATACAGGCAAAACAATCATACATATAAAATTTTTAAATCTTTTAAAAATATAAAAAAGAAAGAACTCAGAGGTGGAGAGATGTCTCAGCAAGCAAAGTTGGTGGCTGCCAAACCTGACTTCCCAGAATCCACACAGCAGAAGGAGAAAAGGAGAGAACTGAATCCTTTGGGGTGTTTTCTGACTCCACATGGATACCACAGTATATTCACACACTCACACACACACACACACACACACTCACACACACACACACACACTCACACACACACACACACACACACACACACACCATAATAAAAAAGAACACTAGAATTCATTCATTTTATATAACCATATTTGGTATCCATTACCCAGCTCCCTCTATTCTTCTCTGCTACTGTTCCTCACTTCTTAGTAATATTTATTCTATTCTCTGCTCCCATGAGAATGTTCTGAAGCTTCGATATAGGGAAAGAGCTGTATGTGGTGTCACACACCTTGCCACTTAGGAGGCGGAGACAAGAGAATCAAGAGTTTAATGTCAGTTTGGGATACTTGGGGAATTGGCAGCTAGCCTGGGTCACATGAGACACTATCTCAAACAAACAGGACAGAAAACCCACATATGAGTTACAATATGTAGTATTTGTCTTTCTGTGTCTGGCTTATTTCATTTATGATATCCACCACCTGTGTAATAAAAATTAAATAAAATTTTTGAATAAAATAACTATTCATTCAAAACTATACCCAAATACATATTTTTAGAGGTTACAGATAACATTTAAAAATTTTAAGCTCCATTGTATTTTGTGTGCATGAGTGTTTTATGTGACTTGATGGGCACCACATATATGCTTGGTGCTGGAGGACGTCAGTAGAGGGCCTTAGATCCCCTAGAATGGTTGTTAGGCTCCTGGGTCTTCTGAAAGAGCAATACATGCTCTTAATTACCGAGCCATCTCTCCAGCTCCTAAATACACACTTCCAAGAAATTTGTTTTTAAAAGAGGGAAATAAAAAAAAATGGAAATAGGCATAAATAATTGAGAACAGATCATTTAAAGCTGGGTCATTATGGACTATCTAATTAGTTCCCCAAAGCTCTCTTAGTATTTGTTACATCAGATCATAGTAGTTTTCTTGAATGCAAACATTTTAGTTCAGGGCCTGATACACTTATACCAAAACTAGGCCACAACAATGTAAAACTCAACGTGTCGCCAGGCAGTGGTGCTTTATTTCCAGCACTCAGAAGGCGCTGGCAGGGGGATTTTTCTGAGTTCAGGGCTGGTCTAGGGAGTGAGGTCCAGGACAACCAGGATTACACAGAGAAACCCTATCTCAGAAAAATAAGTGAAAGAAAGAAAGAAATCAACATTGTCATTGTTATTTTCTCCATCATTCAATCCAGTGACTTCCAGTGCAAGTGAACCCCCCAAATGGATACCAAACACTTTTAATGGGTTTAAGTAACAAAACAAACAAAGCTGAAGCAGTAGGTCAGTAAATAAATGAGAGTTTATTTAGTAGGAATAAGGCCTGGCTTCCATCTCCAATGCTCCAGAATGCACAGACACAGATTTAAAAAGCATTTCCTGCTTTTGGTTTACTTACTTTTGGTATGTAATGTTCATTATTTTTTTAAATCCTTCAAGTAATTTTTAAATCATAAAGTCTTGTTTTGATTATTGGGTTTCAGTTTAGGTTTGTTTTGGCATTTTCTGGGGCTGTAGAGATGCCTGCCTGGTTAAGATCACAACCACCTGCAATGCCAGCTCCAGGGCCTCCAATAACCTCTTCTAGCCTCCGCAGACAACAGTACTCACATGTAGATACACATAATTAAAAGTAAAATAAATCTTTCATTTAAAAAAGCCTTTTGTAGCCAGGCGGTGGTGGTACACACCTTTAATCCCAGCACTCGGGGAGCCAGAGACAGGCAGATCTCTGTGAGTTTCGAGACCAGCCTGGTCTACAAGAGCTAGTTCCAGGACAGCGTCTAAAACCACAGCGAAACCCTGTCTTGAAAAACCAAAAAAAAAAAAAAAAAAAAAAAAAAAGAAAGGAAGGAAGGAAGGAAGGAAAGAAAAAAGACTTTTGTGTTTTCAAGTTCTTCAGTTTCTCTTTGATTTCTCAAAGATAAATGATCAGTTTAATGCTCATCAGTCATTTATTTATTTATTTATTTATTTATTTATTTATTTATTTATTTGAGACAGGGTTTCACTGTTGAACTGTTTAATATCCTTGGCTGCCATGGAACTCACTCTATAGCCCAGTCTGGCCTCAAACCAAGATCCACCTGCCTCTGCCTCCCCAGTGCTGGGACTAACAGGGTGCAGCACCACCACCCTACAGTCTTTAGTATCTATCTCCTGCATGATAGTTTCCTTTGTTTCTTTGAGTCAGGGTCTCCTGTAACCCAAGGTGGCCTCTAACTTGATATTTAGTGTAAGAGTG